AGTGATCGCCACACGAACTCAAATCTAATTACTAGTTGAGGTCACCTGTAAACATGAATGAATCTTGAATCATTTGCTGAGAAAATCGTTTGCTCAATCATTGGTAACAATCATTTTGCATTAATTTATCGTGATCATTTGGAAAGATCAAAATTTCAGTATATTTATTTGTATATTTCAATATACGAAAAGTATACTACCAGTATAACAGTTTATCAGTATAAAAATATACACAGAAAAATCTTCAGTCACATACAGTGAAAAATGCTTGTAATAATGCTATTTGCAGCTTGTAAAAAAACCAACTGAAATGCCCTTAAAAGGTCTCCAAACATATAGTGATAATATAATCGAAAACTACCTTATCGAATATCCGAGTGAGTATTCTCGGCACCAATGGCATCATTGTTGGCTTCAACTCAACAATATCTTCGCTAAGCAACTTGATATCACCTCTCGAGAAACCAACACGAGCTCCGCATTGGAACGCAGCGTTTTCTACGATTCTTTCGTACATATGTGCTAGAGGTAGATAACTGATCAGTACATCCTGAAATATTTGTGGCTCATATTGTTGAAGGCGTACTCAAAATGAATTCGATTCCAGGCATTTTCAAACTGATCATCGACAGAACAATGGTTAATGGTCACTCGTGCAAAGGAGGCGATGTACCTCATTGCGGCTTTGCCGTAATATTGAAGAATGTGGGTGCGGTATTTAAAGTCAACTGATAAATGTGATATTGCATGGGTCTCGGAAGCTCATTTCAAAATCCAGTGCATTCCGAATAAATTTGGTTTTGGATAACATGCAACGGTCCCGTTCAGTGTAATAATCTATTCCGTGGTGCAACGTTTTGCAGTTAAGGTTGATAAAAGTGGTTTAAAAGGAACCTCATTGCTTAGTTTCACATTTGTGAGGTATTGAAAAACAGTTGTTGTTGCAATCACATTGCCATGCGTTAACATCACACCTTTCGGCGTTCCTGTTGTACCTGATGTGTAGCATAGCGTACAAAGGTCATCCATTTTTGGTTTCTGAATTGAAATCACTTGCTTGTTTCTTGTTAAGCTGTTCAAGAACATTCCAAACCATCTAACATTGCTTAATAAACAGCATCTCTGGATCACATCCCCTTCTTTTAATCAGATCATTTTTTCGCATAAGCACGTACGTAACTGAGCCTCAGCTAAGATTGGGCCTATTGAACCCTAAGTTAGAGGCTGAAACTTGGGCGCTCTCTCTCCATCGATGAACTAATCTCATAAAAACGTCCGCATGGAATGCGTTGGTGATTATGATCTCGAAGACAGTTTTGACATTCGAATTCAAAAAATTCCTTTTGCAATACTCACTCAAAGAGCATTGTTGATAACGGATATGGACTTATTGAGGAGCCAGTGAGGATGTTCTTGAATGCTTTGGAATTTGAAACTAGAAATGACAAAATGAGCTGAATCGTTTGCATGCAGTCACCTACCTCCAGAGATGGCTTAGGATCGAGTTTTGCACCTAATTGTTCGATTTCATCAAATCCATAAACTGCTATTCCGGCCTGTTTTGCCGTGTCTTTGAATTGTTTCGAGCATGCGTCCATCATAATGATGTACTTTAACGTGGGACATTCTGATTTGCACTTAACCAATGCTGCAAAAAATTGCAAACGATCATTCGATTGGTTTATTTGATAGGCAGACAGATCGCATGTTGTTCACGTATTCGATGAAAAGGCAGCCAAAATTGATAAGGTTTTAGTGATAAGAATGCACAATTCTTTGTGTTTACAATCAGCAATGTTGAAAATATTCTATTGGCAAAATGCTGAAACGATGCAATAACAATTTTGTTTTTTTTTGGATTGACAAAAGAATGGGACACTCTGTAATTAATTGCACAATTGAAAAATGTCTTTTCGCAATAAAGTGCGCTTAAGTCAACTGGATAGCATGCGATTGGAGAAAAGCAATTCTTATTTTCAAATAAGCGTATTCAGATTGTTCGATGAATCGAATGTTTCGGCATTACTCGATTAATTAACCGTTCATTCGAACCTATTGACATCACATCTGTTTGAGCGAATATTTACGTTGGAATACCGATAAAGCTCTGAACGAAGCAATTCCATATGGCGCGATTCGAAAGTGATGAACGAATCGCAAACAGTGAAAACTAACCAGACGCTTTCTCTTCAGCATCACAAATCACAACTTCAACAGAAGCCTGATTGATGATGAAAGAACGAGCGGCCGTTCCGAGTGTATCGTACAACGAAACAACCACGCTTCTGTTTGTGTAGACGCCCAATTCGCTAATTGTCCACTTGAAATAAAATTAATTCAAGTGATTCGTCAACGTTAAGCTAATGAAAACTTCGAGGCTAACTCGAAAAGAATACAGCGTTCGAGTTGCAAACGAACTGTGAACGCTCACTAACTTCTGGGCGATTTTTCGAGTAGATTGCTACGAACGTCTCTTGACCAGGTGCGATACCGATTGCTATTAATCCAAATGCAAACAGCTCGAATTTATCGATTACCTTCAAAATTGTTGCATGAATTTAAGAAGGACCGACCCACTTAACGAATTCAAACAACTGAACTTGAATTGATTTGCCTGATAGTGAGACGGGTATTTTGTTCTGCTTTCTAGAGATAAGCTGGTGATACTA